AAGTTCATACAATCGGGCAAAACTCGCAATATCAGTAACAGTAGGTTAAGGTGCGGCTGTGGTGACCCTCGGGCCACCCTAAAGCCGCGTGCATTATAATGATATAAAATAAAATATTGAAGGAATTGAACTTTTCAATTTCAAGAATTCAAAAAGTATATAAGTTAAAAGTGGTTTTGACCAATATTTTTGGTGAAAACCACTTTTAACCCATATAATTTGGTTAAAATCACTATTACCCAATATTTTTGCAGTTATAAATCGTTTTGACCAACGTCCTCAGTTAATACTATACTACTTTTGACTGCAAAAATCAGTTAAAAGTAGCAACATCCATACTCAAAGCTACTTTTGCCCGATTTTTTGCAGTCAATGGTGGTTTTGACAGGTTATGAGTTTTGACTGTAACATATATAATCAAAGTAAGATAGATACTATATATTCGAAATGCCACAATATTGTCTGTGGCTACCGACAAAAAAAAATCACAGATATTAAAAACCAAATTCATTTATTTGAACGGTTATTTTGCTAACTACATATATGCAAATCAAGCGCATTGCACCATCTAAAACAATGCATCGGAGATCGATGGTGCAAGGTCGCGCCGTTCGCCGGAGAATTCTTAGAAAAAGATACCTATGGTCGACTTAACTATATTGAGATGACACTATTATATATAATGTAATAATTTCAAAGAGCTTTCTTATAGAATAAGGGTGACAAACGAGCACACAGTCCACGTGGTAAGTAGATACTGTGACATATACATTTATCCTCGATTAAAAATCAAAATGCAAATGTGTTGTCACCCCTGAGGACTAAAATGTAATGCCTCGTTTCTAGTTAAAAGAGTCTCCGGATCTCTAAACTCATCATACGAAACATAGCAGAACTAAGCTGCTATTTTACGCTAGTATTCTGGACGAGCGCGTCCTTCGTCGTCCTTTACAAAAACTTGGTTCGGTTTTTAATGCCCTTTGAAGACATCTTTTTTTTAATCTACCTAAAAGAATCGACAATAGCCTAATAACCATGGTTAGAAGTGCAAAACTAAAAATCTGAAAAACGGATGACCCTGTGAGTCATCCCTAGAACTTTTTCCACGTGGTAGAGCCATGCTGCAGCTATAGAGTACGTGAGGGTAATATAGTCATCCGGTTAATATGGTCACTTTCTTATAACTCAAAAACTACAGCATTGTTTGCATAAATGACTTTGTGATACGATAGCTCTTCATCAGTCATTCAAATAATAACGGGTCAAAAGGCCGACGCTTTATCGACGCCATTTTGACAGTTGATATTATAGTAAATACTTGAGAGTTATATGGTCACCTTAAGCTTTATCGTCCTAAAAAACCAAAATTAGGAGGAGAACAGAGACAAAATTACAAAGTCGTATACTATAACTAATATATTAAGCAAGAAAAATAGCAAACAAACTTTGGAAATAATTAGAAACACTTCGAAAAATCTACATAAAGAAACTAACCTCATTACACAATACAAAAATCGACTAAAATATTTACAATAATATCAACTGTCAAAATGGCATCGATAAAGTAGCGCCTTTTTGACCCTTTATTATATGATAGACTGATCAAGAGCTAAATGGGGAGATGTCCCGAGGCCTGTACCTGTAGCGCAGAATGCGCGCAGAAGAAGACAACTAGATCAAGAGCTACGTATCGTATCACAGAGCGTTCTATGCAAAAGACGCTGTAGTTTTTGAGTTATAAGAAAGTGACCATATTAACCGGATGACCATATTACCCTCACGTACTATAGTTAGTTTTTTTAAGTTGATTTTTCGAAGTGTTGCCAATTATTGCCAAGGCTAGTTTGTTTTTTTTCTATATTAGTTACAGTATACGACATTGTGTATTTGTCTCTGTCATGCTCCAAGTTTTGGTTTTATAGGGCGGCAAAGCTTAAGGTGACCATATTACCATCACGTACCTTATTAGTAGTATAGTTGTAGCACGAATGGGTCGGCTCTACCGGGGAAGGATCACGCTCTCACAGAAAACCAGCGTAAAATAGCAGCTTAACGCTGCTGTGTTTCGTATGGTGAGTGTAGAGAACTGGTGACCCTTTTTACTGGAAAAGTCCTCACTACCTATCTTAGTCCTCACGGCTGACAACGCATCTGCATTTTAATTCGCATTTTGATTCTTTATTGAGGATAAATGTGGATGTCTATGGATCACAGCAACCACTTACCATCAGGTGGACTGTGTGCTCGTTTGTCACCCTATCCATTAAAAAAAAAAGCTCGAAAATCTGTTTACTTTTTTTGGTTTTTATTTTCTGAAAATCTTTGAAATGGCTCGACCAGTTGACTTGAAAATGTAATCAGCTCAAGGTCGCAATGAACACTTTCGAACGCCGTGTTGCCCATCTCGATCGGTTGGTTCGTTCTAAAGATATCGTATGACAAAGTTTTATTTACATACATACACACACACTGTTGTGTGCGCAACGCACACACGCACACGCACACACCACGCACACACCACGCACACACACACACACATGCACACGCGCGCCCTCGCGTCCGCGCTACCAATCGGGTCTAAATTATATCATTTTCTTTTCTGACACTAAATAAAAATATATTGTGAATATTCAAAATTGTTATTGCGGTTCATAATTATAGAATTTGTTAATAATTTGACTAAAGCGCCGCCTTTTGAATCATCTATGAACCATCGACTTGACAGAAAAAATATCGTGAGAATAATATGACCTCAATTGGTAAAGTTGTTCAAAAGTTACGTGATCACTAACGGACTAACCAATGTGTATATATTTAAAGATAAATCTAGTGGGATTTCTGTTTTCTATTCTAACCCAACATCCTTATAAGGAGAAAAATATTTTAAATAAAAAATAAAACTCTATTTAAAATAACAAAAAAGAATAAAATAATTTCACATTCTGAAGTCAGTGCTTAGTACAGAGATTCCTAAAGTGGGTTCCGCGGAACTTTAGGATTCCATGAAAAAGTCACCAGGGTGCTGCGAAATTATTTATTTTTGCTTGTTAAATAAGTTCACACTTAGGTATATTATTTATTCTATGCTTAGGTACAAATATTAATTTAGTAATAGCGCAAAATACCCATTACTGCTATGTGAGTACGTGGGTAGTTATCGAAAATTGTATTCTAATATTCCAATTACACTGTCTATCATATCTAATCATTTAATGTGGTGGTTCCATCAAATAAAAGGGATTTGTTAAGTGTTCCATTACCTTAAAAGTTTGGGAACCCCTGGCTTAGAGATAGTGTGAAAGAATTAAAGCCCCGAAGCCTTTTGAATGGACTAAAGAATATCACAATCTCAATAGTTACATTAAAAACATCACCCCCTATTTTTCCGTCCTTAGGGGTGGCTTTTTCTCCAATTTTAAATCGGACCACCCCTGAAATATAACCAAATATATATAAAAATAAATCACTAAAGCTGGTTCTCAATGAGGGCTAATAATTTTTTGCTCACCAGATGTCGCTACTTGGCACAGTGTAATTTAATTGAGAAGTTGGTTTGTAATAAAAGTTTATCAGTTTCTAGAGTATTATATACACAAAACAATGCGTCAGTGGCTTGCTCTTTAATTCTTTTTTGCACATTTTTAACTTTATTTAAATTTTTCTACTTTTATGAATATATGTGGTTTGGTTTATTTATTTTTACTTACTTACTTATCTTCACGTACAATCCTTGAAGGGCTAGCCAGAGAGAACAGATCGCCAAGTGTCAGTTTATTTATTTTTAATCTTATTAATATAAAATATAGCTAATAGCGCAGAAAGAAACATTAACCTTTTCATTTTCCGAACAAATTAACTTCCCCACTATGAAATCTGTTAAATATTATACCACACTTTCTAGTGGCGCCGCCCTGGTGGCAGAAAAAGTCGTGGATGCCATCATTGATGAAAATATACCATATTAAATAACCATACCATACGAGGACATAAAAAGATCATAGTCAAATTTTAAATTTCCTGCATATTTGAATTAGTAGAAAAATAAAAAGATGTACATCTTATCGGCCTGTTCAAACGCTACGCTAGTATAAATTAGAAAATATAATAAAAATAAAAATGAAAATCTACGACACCAGTAATTTGAAATGGCAGTATCAACATACAACGAGATATCCGATGTATAACCTTTATTTTTAAAAAAACAATCTTGTAGGACGTGTGAACGGATGATCGTAACTATTCTTGGTGTTATTGTTGTATTTTTTGTTCTATGCGTTTATTTTAGAGCCTCTCATTATAATATTTAAGTTTATTATTATAAAAATATAATATTTTCCTTAGTAGTTCGTATAGCGTGATATGAATGACCATGACCACGGTCCACGGCGTCAACTTATACGACAGTAGTCTGACGGCAGGGTGCGGACAGCGAACTAAAAAAGGTTGTGGTTTCGAATTCGCCATTCGACTAATATATTGTTGCGCGCCACGATTAACACATGGTACATGGCGACACTAGTTACCACTACCGCGCTCTAGTATCGAGTGGCAGAACTAGGAGAGTCAAGAACATTCTAGAAATTTCCATGGAAGAACTTTCTAGAACGTCGATAGTTCTAGTCCTAGTCAATCGGGACTGATATGTACTCGAACATTGTTGTGTCGTCACCCGTGAGGACTAAGATGGAATGCCTCGTTTCCAGCAAGATAGGTCTCCGGTTCTCTACACTCACCATACGAAACACAGCAGTGTCAAGCTGCCATTTTACGCTGGTATTCTGTGAGAGCATGGTCCTTCCCTGATCGAGCCGACCCATTCGTGATAAAACTATACTACTAATATAGCTGCAGCATGGCTCTACCACGTAAAAATTCATTTGTAAATGCTTCCCTAACATGAGTGCTGCAAAATTATCGAAACGTGGGGAATTCAAAATGAATAAGAATATTTATATCTTATTTTTTTTTATAAAACTGAAGTAATTATTATTGTTTTACAGATGTTGCTGTCCTGTCTCGTGGTTTCATCTCTCATTAGCATAGCGACATCCGCTGGAAACGAATACCTACCTCCTAGTAAGGGCTACAACTATGAAAAACCACCTATCCCATTCCCCAGTCCAAAGGTAAGAAATATAAAAGGAATATAACTAAATAATTAGCGCAAATATGCGTCTCAGAGAGATGAATACATATTTGTGTCCTTTGCTGTAGAGACTATCAGTCCGTGGGGTCCACGAGTGGAGAAGTTCCTAAAGGAACTATATCCGCGACTGGACATCGCTGCTGGTGATAAGATGCCTAGTTCTTTTCTCGCTCAAAGGCTAAGTATAGCCATTCAGCGAGGAGACGCAGCCAGCGTACTTGGCGCGATAACTTTAGTTTTCTTATTATAGGTTTTTTTTTTTAATATTGTCTATATTGTAAATAAAAATCCCTAGCCTGAAATTAAGAAAATTAATAAAAATAAAAAACAAAAAGTAAAATTCATCTGTGTAACAGTGTAAGAATATCCACTACCTCATATCGTCCTGTGTGTCGTCAGAGGCGACAGAGGGGAACAAACCAGGAGATGGACAGCAGCGTCTTCCTAATAACAACTTAAAAACTGCGATTGCTAACCCGTCTGCCACGCGTGGCAACTATGGCAAATATCAGTTTTCTATGGTGCCCTATCAGGTAATCTATGGGGGAGGTCCATGTTCAGCAGTGGATATATGATAGACTGTAAAAGTAAAATTATAACCTAATACACGTTTACGTCCTGTGCGCCACTTCTCATTTCTGAACTGAGCATTTCATCAGCCGCGCTACTCCAATCAACTCGACTCCACAGAGTCAGTAATTCATTATTTGGGCAATGTATACGCTATTAAAACAAAGTCCCAGAAAATATACAAGGTATCTCTATTACCAAGTTTAAATATTTAATTAAACAAGAACTGTATAAAAAGGATTATTATAATATAATTGAATACATGGTTGTATTATCTGGGAATGAGGTGGTCTAAAATAAATTTTGTAAATAGTTTGTACAACCTCTTATATTGTATAAACGTAAAAGATATAAAATATAAAATGGTGGTTCAAATTGGAATGAGGAATAATAATTTTTTGCTTACCAGATATCGTTAGTTGACACTGAAGTAAAGTTTTTTGTTACACTATCTAATTTAATTGAGAAGTTGTTTTTTAATAAAAGTTTAAATCAGTTAAAAAAATACTTTTTGTTTAAAAGTTCCGCTGTGTTTTGCTTTTTGGCAGACACGCAGACCCTTTTACTGAATACGAGGCATTCCATCTTAGTCCTGAGGAGTGACAACGTATCTGCATTTTGATTCTCATTTAAGGATAGATGTAGTTTTCTATGGGCCACAGCATCCACTTACCATGAGGTGGGCTGCGTGTTCGCTTGTCACCCTGATTGAAAGTAAAGACTAGAAATGAGTTGGGGGGGTGGCTCGAACTTTAGGCATAGTCAGTTTGAATAGCGTATCATGTAGAGGATGTCATGGGGTCGTGGTTGAATAGGGGCAAAAAGTTCTCATTACACTCCTAGAGGGTGAAAATGGCCAAAAACCAAAAAAAATTAAATTCTTATTTCGGCTATAACTCCGCCTCCTTCGGAGGTTCTTACACAGTCTTTACTTCCTGCATCCCATTTGTTCTATATTAATAAAGGTTTATTTTTGAATCGTCAATTTCATTGGCGCCGGGTGGGGATCAAACCCAGGTTGTTCGCGTGCTGTGAAAGTTATGATGAGTGTTAAACTTCTGAGATACCACGACTTATAATATATTAAAATTAGTAAAGTAAAATTACAGCCTATATAAGTACCACTCCTGGGCGCTGGCCTTCTCTCATTTCTGAGAGGGTTTAAGGGCAAGGAAGTATCCGCCGCGCTGCCCCAATGCATGTTGGCGAACTTCATGTGGCTACGAAATATATTTTTATTCTTATTTCTCAGACATCACGTTCCGACGACACGCACCCGCTATGCCCACGCCACGCGTGTCAGCACCCGCGTCCAACTGGCTTCGAAATTTGTATTGCATATAATTTGAGTCTAGGTTTCCACACGATGTGTCCTTCAATGCCGAACACGTAAAATTATAATTAATACCTTCTTTGGTACTAGCAAGGTTCCGAGGTAACAACTCGGATTACTGTAAAGTTTATGTAAACGGTTTTTTTCGTAAATAAGTTTTTTTAACAGTGGTAGAGCCACGCGGCACCTTTTGCTATCGCATGGATGGGCCGGCTCGAACCGGGGTGGTACCACGACCTCACAGAAAACCAGCGTGAAGTAGAGGTTTACCTCTGCGTTTCGCTTGGTGAGTGCAGGTGGCCGGAGGCCCTTTTTACTGGAAATGAGGCATTCCATCTTAGTCCTCACGGGTGACAACGCATCTGCGTTTTGATTCGCGAGCGAGGATAGATGTAGATGTCTAAGGACCGCAGCAACCACTTACCATCAGGTGGACTGTGTGCTCGTTTGTCACCCTTATCCTATAAAAAAAAAAAAAAAAAAAAAAGTCCGATTGGGTTTCTTGCTGGTTCTTTCGAAGATAGAGATATTTTCCGAACGAGTAGCAAATTAAACATAAAAATGACTTTCAATTAAGTAATAATTAGTTCAAATCATAGTGGCTTAGTTAGCAATGAGTTACAGCGCTCGGGGCCGTGGGTTCGAATTCCGCAAGGAGCAAGTATTTGTATGGCGTACAAATATTTGTTCCGGGTAATTGTATGTCCTTGTGAAATTTATGTATGTATACTGCCCTCACGGTACATGAGGAAATCCTAGTGTGGAGGTAACGTTTTTAAAAAAAGAGAAGAAAAGACGATTTTGGAAAATTCACCCCCGAAAAGGGTGAAATAGGGTTTTACAGCTTGTAATCTATATTGATCAACACCTTTCTATTCCTATTTCTACTTCTATGACGAGCGATAATATGTCTGCTCGGTAATATGAAGCACAGACACAATAACAGCACTGTAACCCTGGCAACACTGCTACAACATCATGCTGAGTCGAACGCCTTTTCGTTGCTGCAACCCAATGTCAATGTAATTTGTGTATAATGATTTCTTATGTTTACGCGAGCACTACATTAAATTAAAATAAAATATATCATCAAGAAACCTGCATGTCTGAGAAATAAGAAAAAAAATTATTTCGTTGACATGCGAAGTTCGTGAACACGCATTGGGACGAGAGACCTGTGCGCAGCTGTGCGTATATAGGCTGTAATTTTTTAACTAAATATTTTTTTAAATATACGCTTTAAAATCCACAAAAAGAAGTTTCATTCAAATATTTTGTGTGCATTGTTTTTCGAAGTGAAAAACTCTTTAGCCACGTTGATTGAATTTCGGTAGGGGAAAAAATTAAGGGTTCGCGTTACCGATGACCTCGACATGCTCGTGACGTATTTAGTACGCGTTGCTAGTTTGGCGTAAGCCAGAGCATTATTTAGTAGTACAGCGGCATGCGTATATGTATAATACGCATATATCATTGAGCTTCCACCTTCCGCACTCCGTGCTACAACAGGTCCTATCGGCAGAGATCGTGATACTCGGTAATATTAACGCCCACCACGCTGAATGGCTTGGTTCTCGTTTAACCGATTATGCGGGTGGATCTGTCTATGACTTTGCCTTGGCATATGGTCTAACAAAACTGGTTAGTTCGCCTACGCGGATCCCAGATATGGAGGATCATGTACCTTCCCTGTTGGACCTACTGCTGACCTCTCATCCGGACGGATATCAGGTCCCCGTCGATGCCCCTCTGGGCTCTTCGGACCATTGTCTGATCCGGAGTATATTGCCACTCACGAACCAATCACAGTTGCAATCTGCAGCTTGCCGCCGTGTTTAGCACTATAAGTCGGCCGATTGGGACGGGGTGCGGTTCTTTTTTTGCATCCTACCCTTGGGAGCGGGTTTGCTTCTCGCCGGAAGATCCCAGCGTTCATGCTGATTCTGTTGCTGATGTGGTACTTCAGGGTATGGAACTTTTTATTCCATCCTCTGTGGTGCCCATCGGAGGCAGATCCCAGCCATGGTTTGGTCGCTCCTGTAAAATAGCATCACGCTATAAGCAGGAATGCTACCAGGCCTGGCCTGATGCATCAACGTCTTGGAACGTAAACACCAGCGCTCTTAAAAAGAAGTATAATTCCGCCTACAGGTTCTTCAAAAGCGTCATTGCCAAGGCAAGGTCTGAGCACATCGGCAGAATTGGGCAGAAGCTAGTTCGCTTTCCTTCGGGAACCCGTACATTCTGGTCTCTCGCCAATGCTGTCCAAGGGAACTTCTGTCGGCCATCTCTTCCATTTCTGCACAAAGAGGACGACTCACTGGCCCATGCCGCAAAAGAGAAAGCCGATCTGTTGAGCTCTCTCTTTGCGTCCAACTCGACTCTAGATGACGTGGGGAACACATCGCCAACCATTCCGCGGTGTGAGTGCTCCATGCCGGATGTGCGGTTTACACAGCACTCGTTTCGCAAGGCACTCTTCTCCCTAGGCGTCAACAAGTCGAGTGGGCTTGATGGAGTCCCTCCCATTGTGCTGAAGACGTGTGCTCCGGAGTTGGCATCGGTTTTAACGCGTTTTTTCCGGTACTCCTACTCCCACGGCGTGGTCCGAGGTTCGTGAAAGAAAGCTTTGGTGCACCCGATCCCTAAAAAAGGTGACCGCTCAGACCCGTCCAACTACAGGCCTATCGCCATTACCTCCTTGTTCTCCAAAATAATGGAATCCATTGTAAACTTCCAGCTCATGAGGTATCTTGAGGATCACCAGCTGATTAGTGACCGCCACTACGGTTTTTGTCAGGGTCGATCAGCTGGTGTTCTTCTGGTCTCCCTGAATCATAGATGGGCGGAGGCAGTAGAGTTCAAGGGAGAGGCATTGGCCGTTAATTTGGACATAGCGAAGACCTTCGATCGGGTCTGGCACAAAGCGCTTCTTTCGAAGCTTCCTTCCTATGGGCTTCCCGAGAAATTGTGCAAATAGATCACCTGTTCCCTTGCTGATCGGAGCATCAAGGTCATAGTAAACGGTGTGTGCCCTGATTTCAAGTCTATCAACGCTGGTGTTCCACAAGGCTGCG